CTGCGCCCGCCTCCTCGCCCCCACAGCTGCCCCGGTCGCCCCAAGCTGGGTCCGAGCCCCCGCCGCCCTCCACGTCACTCAGGTCTTCGAAGGTGTCAACGGCGGGGATGGAGTCGCGCTCGGCCCCCCACGCGTCCCCGGGGCAGGGCGGGCAGTACAGCTGCGCCAGCTTCTTGCAGAAGTGGTTCAGCGGGAAGCCCACCACGTTGAGGAAGTCCCCGCGGACGTGCTCCACCAGCATGCCGCCCAGGGCCTGGATGCCGTAGCCCCCCGCCTTGTCCCTGCCGGGGAGGTGGGGGAGAAGACAGGGGATGTCGGCATTCCTCGGTCCCCGGACCTACAGCCGGGGCGACAGGCCCCCTGCAGGGACCCCAGTCTCCTCCAACCTGGGTGGCTGCAGGCTGACGAGTCTGGCTCCAGGCCCAGATCCTATGTGATCCCAACCACCGGCCAGCACGAGGGAGGGGCACTGGGGGCCCCTTGGGGAAGGTGCCCACCCCCATCCCCAGCAGGCCTGGCGCACCGTAGTCTCTCTGGGGTGAGGGGGCTGCCGTCAAGGACCCAGGCCCCAGCCGTGCCCTCCTGCCACCTGGATTCCTGGCTCCGAGCCCCACTCAGAGGCCTCTTCACGGAGGCCCTGGCCCAGGTCTTCCCGGGGAACCTCTGCTGAGGAACAGAGTGGGAGGAGCGGCCTGGGAGGACCCTCCCTGCACCCTCCCTGCACCCCAACTGACCACCCTGAACTTCTCCAGCCCGGCCCCCCACCTCTCCCTCTCCCCAGCTGGTACCTGGGGTCCCCAGGCAGTGAGACCCCCCACGGCCCCCACGTCTGCACCTGCACCGTGTCCTGGGGGAAGACGGGACGGGGGAGCCCGCGTGTCCCCTGGTTTGGCCCTGGGTCCTGCTACGGTGGCAGAGGTGCTGGGGCCAACCCCATCCCTTGTTTTGGTTTGTTGTCCCGATCAGATTCCCCCAACAGTTCAGCTCAGTTCATGACCCACCACCCTCCTGGCACCGCCTAGAGCCCAGCCCCCGCTGGCCCTTCCCCAGCACGGAGACCTGGGTCCCTGCACCGCCCGTCTGAGCCCGGCCCCCTCGTGGTAAATAGAACAAGACACCGCCTGGCAGACCGAGTGCTTGTGCCCCCCACAACTCCTACGTGGAGTCCTAACCCCTGGTGGGAGGACGTTAGGAGCTGGGGGCTTCAACCAGCACAGCACACGCTCTGACCCTCGGCCCCGGGAGCCCAGGGGTACCTGTGCCCACCTCCGCGCTGCTGTGGGTGCCCGGCCCCCCGTGAGGGCCCTGCACGAGGACACATAGGAGGCTGGTCCCCGAGGCACCGTCAGACCCGTGGGCGAGGCCACCAGCCAAGGGCCAGCCCCCAGTGGGGGTGGGGAGTGGACCCAGTGAGGATGGAGAATGGACGGGCCGAGCCCAAAAAAGCCGGTCACCCCACACGGTGACCTTGACAAGACTGCTGCCTGGAGCCGGCACGCTTGGGGTGGTCAGTGTGACATTTCATGATGACCTCTGCCTTCTAGAGAGAGAGCCGGCCATCCCGCCAGAGTGGCCGGCTGCCCTGTCTACACCCCACAGGGAGGGCCACCTGCGGGACGGGGGCCCCCCGGAAAGCATCCTTCACTACTGCGTTGGGGCACCGGTCACAGCGTTGGGAGCACAGCCCCGGGGCGCAGGCCGAGCCACGTCCCCGGCGCGTCCCCGCCCGCAGCTGCCGACGGACACTCACATGGGCTCCCCGCTGTCGATGTATTCCCACAGCAGCTCCTCCGACAGCTCCGAGAACTTCACTGTGGTCTCCTCGTAGAAGTCCAGGACCTCGGTGTGCAGCCGGCCGTCTGCAAGGACAGGGCCCGCGGGTGAGGGTCCACGCCCGGCGCTGGGGCCCCGGTCCCCGGGGCTGAGCCGCTGCATTTGGGGGGAACCTGCCTGAGCTTTACGTGTGATTCAGGCCCGGAACGTTCATAGGGGCAGGGTTTTCACTTTAGACAAGGGAGAAAGAGAGAGAAAAAGGAACCAAGCCCACAACGTCGCCAAACAGGAGAGGAACTCGGAGCCTGCAGACCCGGGCGAGACAGGGCCGCTGGGTTTGTGCGACAGTTCGTGGAGCGGAGCTATCACAGAGCCAGTCCGGGTCTGCACGAGGCTTTCCGCTGGGCAGCTGCGGGGCTGCAGACGCCCCAAGCACATGGCACGGTGGCTCCGCGTACGGCGCGCTGGGAGGGGTCCCCACCCCAGCTGTCCTGCAGTGAGGGCTACCCCTCAAACGTCATGTCCTCTCAAAACCTCAGGCGGGGAAGTTTTTTGGAAACAGGGTCTCTGCAGATGGGATGACGTGAAGGACCGGAGAGGAGGTCCTCCTGGAGGAGGTGGCCCTGCATCCAAGGACAGTGTCCTCAGAAAAGGAGACACACAGACATAAAGGAGAAGCCACGTGGAGACGGAGGCAGAGACGGGAGGGAGGCGGCCACCAGCCCAGGATGGACGCCTGGAGCCCCCAGAAGCTGGAAGAGGCAGGAGGGACCCTCCCCTGGAGCCTCGGGAGGGAGCGCGGCCCTGGGACACCTTGACCTCAGACGTCTGGTCTCCAGGACGGGGGAGGATAGATGCCTGTGGTTTTACACCACCCGAGGAAAGAATCTCCAGCAAGTGCTTCCTCCCCCAAGAGCCCAGGCTGAAGTCCAGGACGGTGGACCGAGAGGGTAAAGGTAACCAGACAGCCAGCAAACAGACGCTCAGCCGCCCGTCGGTCATCGTGGGACGTGGTCGGGGGCCCCGAGGCCAGGAGCTCAGACTCAGCCTCAGGGTCCTTTCTGGACTTAAAACCTCTTGTCAGCAGCCTTGAAAATCATTCCTCAGGGTTTTGGTGCATTTTTTAAACACCTTTCATCAGGGCCTTGTAGATTCACGCCAAGGTGGGCCCAGTTCCTGCACCTTCCAGACCAAAGCACCTCAGAGGAAGCATCTGGACAGACTGCACTGGACGGGGGTTCATGACCGCCCCACCCCAGCCCCCACGGGATGCTCAGGGCGAACCCCAAGTCTTCCACGTCGGACCCTGGCTTTCCCAGGCAGGACAAGAGGAAGGACTCGTGTGGGAGCAGAGCTGCCCCGAAGGCCTGGGTCACCGAGGACCCTGGTCTCCTCCCGCGGTGGCCCCACCCCCAGGGAGCAGGGGGATGGCACTGGCCGTGGTACCTCTGTCGCTGCAGTGGACGATGACCACGCCCGTGAAGACGCTGTGCTCTTTCCCGTTCAGCCTGCAAGACACACAGGGCCAGCGCACAGCTGTCTGAGGTCTGGTGACACAGCATGTCCCCCCCCCATCCCCCCACCGAGCACGCAGCCTCAGCCCCCATCACTCAGGCCACCGGGTCTCCGAGGAAACCTTCCCACAGTGACCAGTGCAGGTTCCCACAGGAATGCAGTCACTGCTATCGAAGCTGGGGCAGGGCTGGGGTGGGGGACCCCCGGGGGCCTTATTGCAGGACCTGAGGTCCAGCTGGGATATGGGGAGCGGCTGGCCGTGCTGGGACGACTCAGATGCAGGCAGCTCTCGACTGGACTCTGTGTTTGGTGGCCTGGGTGTGGCTGACCCCGTAAGAGACCCTGAGGTTGGGGAAGGGGGTGGTCCACCCAGTGGGCAAGGTTCCAGGATGCTGAGAGGGACAGGACCCGCCTCCGTATCACAGGGGCTCAGAGGCACTCCCGGGGCCCCTGGGGAAAGCAGTCAGGTGGAGGCAGGCACGACGATGGGGGGAACCACAGAAGGTGGGTCGTGGACACGTGGACCCCGGCACGAGCCCCGTTAGGGTGCAGCCAACACTGCATGCGTTCAAGGGCACCAGTCCCGCCCTCTGATCTGAACTAGCAGGGGCTGCGGGAGGGACGGGGGAGGTCACACACAGTCCTCCCCTGACCCAACGATGCCCAGCCTCTCTCTGCCGCACAGCTGTTTCCCAGGAGGACGGCTGACCCCACCCACCTTGAGAGCATGCGGTAGGCGTCCTGTTTGTCCACCGGCTTCTCCAGGATCAGCCCCCCGATTGTCTACAGGAGAAACGGGAGGGGCGGCGTCACTTCTCCCCTAAGATTGTCTGTGAAAACTGCACCATCCGCGTGACAGATTCTGCATTTTAAAATTTAGCTGAGATCCGTGTAACATAAAGTTCACCATTTTACAGTGAACCGTGTGGCAGGTCCCCAGAGCTGAGCTATGACCATGATCTAGTACCTGAACTTTCTCATCATCTGGAACACCTTGTCCCCACGCATGGTCACTCCCTGTCCCCCTGCCCAGTCCCTGGTAACCATGAACCCACTTTCTGTGTCTGTGGATTTGCCTGTTCTGGGCGTTTCCTGCAAATGGAATCACACCCTGTGTGTCCTTCTGTGTCTCCTTCTCTCACGGACCATCCTATGTGTAGGGTCCATCCACACTGCAGCCCATGTCAGAGCTGCACTCCTTTTCCTGGCTGAGTAATATTCCCCTGTGTGCATGCACCCCATTCTGTTTCTCCATCCATCCACGGGTGGATATTTGGGTTGCTTCCACCTTTTGGCTATTGTGAATAATGCTATGAATATTCACGTACAAACTTTTGTTTGAACACCTGTTTTCAATTATTTTGGGCATATACCTAATGGTAAGTGTCTTAGGTCAGGCTCCCATAGTAGTACAGACAGGAGGCGTAAAGAACACACTTTCATGTCCCCCAGGCCTGGAGGCTGGGATCTGAGACAAGGTGTGAGCAGGGCTGGTGTCTCCTGAGCCCTCTCCCCTTGGTGTGTGGACGGCCGTCTCCTCCCTGTGTCCTCACATGGGCATCCCGCTGTGTGTGTCTAGGTCCTCATCTCCTCTTCTTATAAGCCCAGTCCTATGGGATCGGGACCCATTCTAGTGACCCCATTTTACCTCCATCACCTCCTTAAAGACCCCGTCTCCAAACACAGCCCCATTCTGAGATCCTGCGGATCAGCAGGTCAACATATGAATTGGGGGGGACACACTTCAGTCCACAGTAGAACTGCTGGGTCATATGATAATTCTTTGCTTAACATTTTGGAGAACCTGCACTGCTCACTTGTTATTTCCCTGTAGAGACGCCCTTAACCGTGACCCAGGAGTGGCGTCTGTGTTCTCAGCCGCACACGTGCACGTCCCGTGCACCCGGGCTGCCCGGGCAACGGGTGTCACATGAGGGCAAGGCAGACCCCGGGCTCACCCCATCTGCTGTTTGCCAACCCTGGACTCTTCCTTTCTGTTTTCTTTTTTGTTTGAACTTATAGTTGATTTACCATGTGGTGTTAGTTTCAGGTGGACAGCAAAGTGGTTCAGTTATACATATATACATATGTATATATTATTTTTCCTATCCTTTTCCATTATAGGTTATTACAAGATATTGAATACAGTTTCCTGTGCTCGACAGGAAGCCTGGGCTCTTTCAGTGTCCAAATGAGTGGTCCCTCACCTGGACACGGTGGTGGTACCTTAGCAACCAAGCCCGCCATCCCCGGGAGGTGGTCACCATCAGGCCAGGAGGGGGCTCAGATGGAGGGCGGTCACCAGAGCTGCCGACCAGCGTGACCTCCCATCAAAAAACAACTCGCAGTGGCCGGAGGCCATGTCCAGGACAGAACTCTGTCCTCTCCAAAGATGCACCCAGTCCTGACCCCCGAGCCTAACGAACAAGACATTATTTGGAAGTAGGGTCTTTGCAGATGTAACAGATGTAAAATGAGGTCGCGCTGGAGCAGGTAGGCCCTAATCCATTAGGATTGCGGTCCTTACAAGAAGAAGGAAACTGGGACACAGAGACGCCACATGAAGACGGCGGCAGAGTCAGGGTGATGTGGCCACAAGCCCAGGGACGCCCCGATTCCTGGCAAACGTCCCGAAGCAGGGAGAGAGGCCTGGGAAAGATTCACTCCTACACCTTTCAGAAGGAACCGGCCTTGCCAACGCCTTCGTTTCAGTCACCGAGGACACGCCAGCCACACCAGAGGTCGGAAAGCAGACTTACCACGATGGTGTCTGCTCCGATAACAACGTCGGGGGCCCGTAGGTCTTTCTGCAAGAAATGCAGACTCAGCATTAGAAAGGAAGTCCCTGGGTGTCTCACACAAACATTTTCGTCCCACGAGCCGTGTGGAACAGCATCACTGCTCGCTGACGAATGCAGTCTCAGCTCGGAGAGCAAGATCTGGGTGTGTCAGCACAGCAAGCGAGGAAGAACCTCAGCACGCGACGCTCACGCGAAATGTGCGCACAACCCTCAACTCTGACTGCCCTTCAGTACTAACCTTGCCAGCTGAAAGTCAGTCCAGCAATGTTCATTTATCTATAGCAATACTTCTCATAGCATTGACTACCATGTGTTTGTTATGTTATGCTAATGGCAACAGGGTACCACTATAACACGTAGGAATAAACAAGCCGCCTTAATTCTATGCCTTAAGTAGCACTACCATGTTATTACAAACGTATGTCCTATGGTGACACAATACAACAACGTGTTGCGTAGCAATCACACATGCGTTATATATGAACTTCTCTGTTATAAACGACACTACTCTGTTCATTACAAGAATGTATTATATAGGAACACACAGCCCTGGATAAGGTACCTTAATTCTATATCGCACATGATGGTTTACATTAGCCACAAGAGTATGTTATATGTAACACCCACTAAGAGATAAGTGCCCTAATTCTGTATCAAAAATAATACTGTTACATTCATTGCAATAGCATATTATACAGTAACACCTGGTAATAGCTAAGGTCCCTTAATTCTACATCATAAATGATACAGTTACATTAATTGTAACAGTACATTATATAGTAATGCAGAGGCCACAGTTCTGGATCATGAACGATGCTGTTACGTTAAATGCAACAGTACATCACATCCTAACACTCAGTAACAGAAAAGCTGCATGAATTCTATACCATAAATGAAGCTATTACGTTAATTACGGTAGCATCTACATAGTAAAACGTAGCGATAAACTACATGACTTCCACATCACACATGATGCTCTTGTACAAATCACACAGTAACAGAGTAACAGATAAAGCACACCAATTGTTTGTACGGTAAGTGGTATTATTACATGAATCACAACGGTATATGACATCTTGGCAAAGCAACAGACAAACTGTGTTCTATGGATGGCAGCGTCACGTGAATGACGGGGGACCACAGCCACAGGTAAGCTGCGTTATCCGCCTGCTGTAAGCGGCGTTTCTTTAGAACGTGGACACTGAAAATCGGCACACGTGCTCCCAGCAGCAGAGCCTGAGAGAATCCGAAGCGGGAAGCCTTGCCTGGTGCATCCTCCTGGCCACCTCCAGGGCCTTCTGCTTGGCTGTTTCCACGGCGTATGCGGAGGGGGTGGGGAATGAGGCCTTACACAGCTTCTCTTTGAACCTGGAAGGGACCACCTCGAACCTGAGGCCCTGGAACAAGACAAAAGGGGTCTTGAGGGCTTGTCGGAGGACCCCCAAGAACGCTGACCAGCACGCGCAAGGTCTGCAGTCATTGGGGCCTTGCCCACGCCCAGCCGCCTCCCTCGCCTACCTCGTCTATGCACTGGACACTGACCAGGTGCCAGCTGGTCAGTGCCAACCGGTCTGCGGGGGAGCGGGACTAACCAGGGCCGGGGTCCCTGGCGGGAAGACCCCTGCGCAGGCGGCAGCCACACGGAGGCCAGCAGGGCGGTATTGATTGGAACGCTGGGATCTGCAGCCCCAAAGGTCAAAGGGCTCCCAGGGAGTCCCAGAGGCCGGCACCTGGCCCCCACAGGGGTCAAACTACTGAACTCACAGCACTTGCAGGAAATGCCACCAAAGTGCCACAAACGATGGCTGCATGAGGGGAGATGTAGCTGCTTTAAGGTCCCCCACACATGTAAACAGGCAGCCCCTGCGGGAGGCGGGTCACAGACAGTAACATCCAAAGTCGGGTGGGGACAAGAATGGGTAAAACTGCCCATCCCCATGGCTGGCACCCCTACAGGGCACCCAGCTGGCTCTTACCTTCCCTGCACACTAGCCCTTCCCCCATCTCCCTCCATCACGGTCCTCCCGCATCCAAATTCCCCCTGGACCGCGCTGTGAGCCCCTCTGGGTTCTGAACCCCCCAGCCTCGCACTGGAGGTACGGATAGCACTCTTCACTCTGTACCCCCCTCTCTCCCCCACCTCGTCCAGGCAGGGCCTCTTCGACTCCCCTGTCCCTCACCCTTCCCCCACCAGACACAACTCCCCACTGCCAGCCTTCCCGCTGGAGGTACAGACAGCACCCTTCACACTGTACCTACCCCCACCCCAGCCCACTCCCCAGACCCAGGCAGGGCCACCTGGGCTCTGTCCCTCCCACCAACTCTAGTATACCCCCGCCCCCAGACAGGGCCTCCCCGTTAGGACCACATCCCCTTCACTTTGGCGCTGCCCCCTCCCTCCCTCTCAGCTCCAGGACGGACGGAGCTCAGGGGCTTGGGAGCTCCACACACCCCAGCCAGCAGGTCACTAAGTCCCCAGCCCTGGCCGGAAGACCCTGGGCCGCAGGTCACAGAGACTCCTCCTTCATCTGAGCCACATACCTGGACTCTGGCCACTCGGGTCCTGCCCGCTCATCCCCTCAGGCCTCAGCCCTGCAGAGCCCCGTCCCGGTCACTAGAGGCCTCTAGGCTGAGACCCTGGACCTCAGCCCCTTTCGCTAGGCCCCATTAGTAAGCCCCACCCCCACTAGGCCCCTGGGCCCCCCAGTCACTAGAACCCGGCTGGCTCAGCAGACCCCTCCCACTCCGACCCCTCCCTTCCCCACCAAGCTGGGCCACCAGGTCCCCAACAGACCCTGGCCACCCTCCTTAGGACAACCCCTGTCACCAGGCCCTGCAGTCCCCACCCTCCCAACCCGCCCCTTCCCTTCCCCACCAAGCTGGGTCACTAGGCGCCGGGGTCGGTAAGCTGCGGCCACCAGACCCTGGACACCCGCCCCTAGCACTAGACACCCCCATCTGCTAGGCTCCGGCCCTGCAGACTCTGGCTCCCAGCCACTGGGCCCCTGGTCCCTAGGCCCGCGGAACCGGGCCCGCCCCGGCCCCCGGCCCCGCGGACCCCGGCCCAGGCCCGGCCCAGGCGGCTCACCGCGTTGCTGAGGATCTCCTGGCGGCGCGGGGAGGCGCTGGCCAACACCACATGTTTGTGCAGCAGCTTCCCGATCACCGGACACAGCACCATGGCGCCGCCGCGACCCCGACCCGCGCGCGCGGCCGCGCCAGGAACCCGCCTCCCTACGCCGCGCGCGGAGCCCTGCGCACTCGGAGCCGCGGCCAGGCCCCGCCCCCAACGGGCTCCGCCCCCGAC